GTTATGATTTATGAATATTGAAAATATTTAGGCTTTTTCTAATAAATAAGTAAAAAATTTTTTAAAAAAGATATAAATAAATTTTTATTTCTTAATCTCTTTATTTTAATATTTTTCAGAAATCATGATTATGAAAATTATTTATGTACATTACTGTTATCACATAAAAATAAAGCAGCTGCATTTGTAATCCGTGCATTTAATGTTGAAATAGCTCAAATAAAAGACCAAGTGCATGATTACGAAATAGGAAAAATGAGATTAAAATTTTGGATAGATGCTTTAAATAATACATATAAAGGAAATCCTCCAAGAAGTCCTGTTATGTTGGCATTACATACAGTATGATTATTTATTATATATATCAAATATTATATCAAATTTTAATATCAATTATAATTCTTTATTTATTAAAAATTGATAGTTTTAAAAAAATTTTTTACAGATTTTACAGAAATATTCTCTTTCTAAACATTATTTTAAACGTCTCATTGATATAAGACTTGAAAAACTTAAAGATTATTCATTTAATGATATGAGTGCAATAGAAAAATATACAGAATATAGTAGTTCTTCCATTTATTATCTTTTATTACAAGCATATGGTGTGACTAATATTGATGCTGATCATGCTGCAAGTCATATGGGCAAGGCTCATGGCATTGTGAATTTAATTCGATCAGTTCCATATAATGCTAGCAAAAGAGTAAATATGTTGCCACAAGATATATTAATGAAACATAATGTATCTACAGAAGCTGTATTACAAGGTCAATCAAGTAAAGATCTTCAAAATGTAATATATGATATAGCTTCTTATGGAAAATTACATTTAGATGCTGTAAGTATATATTAGAAATAAAACTATAATAAAAATAAATAAATTAAAAAATGAAAAAGTAAGAAAAATAATATTTTATATTTTTACTTTACGTGTATTTTAATATAAAAACTTTTGTTCTTTTTAGACAATTTCTCTTAAACATAAAGTGGAGAAAGAAGCACATTTAATTTTTTTACCAATAATTTGTCTTCAAAAATATTTAAATGAATTGAGAAGAGCAGATTTTAATATCTTTGATATAAAATTACAGAAAAAGGATCATTTACTTCCTTTGTACTTATATTGGAAAAGTTACACATATTAAACTTGATTTATAAATATTTATTACATAAATTTAGTTTTAATAATTAGTTAGTAATTTAAATTATCTTAATCTCAATTAAAATATTATAAAATTATAAAAAATAATAATCACATATATAATAATAAAATTAAATATTATAATTTCATTAATATACAAATTTTTCAAATTATTATTTTGTGATCTGCTTTTGTGATATTTAGTTATTAATTAATTATTAAGATAGATGTGTATAATATAAAAACTTTCGATAAAAATTAAAATTACTTCATGCTTTATTAAAAGAAATTCAAAAAATTAAAATAATTTAAATAATTTATTTCAATAACTTATTATCATATTTTAACATGTTTTATTTAATAATATTGTATGAATTTGTTTATAGAAACTAAGCATTTTTTTAAGACTTTTAACTAAAATGTGACTTTACATTTTTTAAACATTACGAAAATAATTTGTATAATTATCACAATCCATTTCTGTAGTATTTAAAGATAAGTCTCCAGTACTACAAGGAATTGTAGGTATATTTGAACCTTGAACTGTGAATCCATGATAATCTTCTTGTTCTGATTCTGTAGAACATGGTAAATTTAAATGGGTAGATACTAATAAATCATTTGTAGATTTTTCTTGTTGTGTATCAAAATCACTTTGTGTATCCAAACTTATAAGACTAGTTTCATCTTCTGCTTTGCTTACATCAAAACTGTCATCACCAATGAAAGATGGAAAATCAAAAGTAGGAGATGGTGTAATACAATCTTCTATTAAAGAAGTTTTTATATCATTTAGTGGTGTAGAATTACTAATTGTAGTAGGACAAACCTGCAATTAATTGTTACATGTAAGTTCTTATAGAGGATTTATTAATTTGAAAAAATTACTTACTTGTGGAATAATTGGAGGTGGTAATTGATAGCTTTCAATATCTTCACAATCTAAATTAGTAGGCAATCTCTGACTGTGTGTAATTAACAATGGAGTTCTGTCCAAAACTGTCTGTACTTCTGATTTCATTTCTTCTTGAAATTGTAATATTTTTTCTTTTAAACTTAATGTTTCGTTCATTATTTCTGTAGTTTTGGCTTTCATTTCATTAAGGAGTGTTATATCTTCACACATTAAATGCAAACTCTATATATATAATAAAATAAATTATATAAAAGATATTGAATTATTCATTCAAAATTATTAAAGGAAGATATAATATATACTTCACATATCATTAAAGCAGATTCCCATGTATTAGCAGGTACACGTTCTCCAGACATATAAGCATTAAAATCTTTTTCATCCATATTCAATGATTCAGCTGTTAAATTTTCAATAAAAGATACTGCACAACACTACAATATTTATTATGTTTTTTTTAATATTTTTTTAAATTAATTTAAATTTTATATAAAATTTTTATTTTTTTTTTATTATAAAATAATGTTGTATAATATTTTTAATTAATTTAATTAATTAATTTTTCATAATTAAATATTCCAATAAATATTACCAAATTTGTAAAATAATATCCTCCTTCTCCTGTCATCAATCTGCTTGCATTACAAAACCTAGTAATAAAATTGATGTTACTTTTAAGACGAGCAGGATTAGCTTTTAAAACAATAAAAATTAAGGCAGGAAGAAATTCATCTGCAGATGCAGGTCCACCAACAGATTGTTGTAACATTAAAAATATATTTCGACAACAATAAATAACACAAGAAAGTTTTTCTTGTGGAGCTTTTGCAGAATCCATATTTAATAAATCTACAATAAATTAAAATTAAATTGTCTTTATATAATTAATAATTGCCTTTATATAATTAGTATATATTTAGTTAATAATTGCTAACTTATTATATAATTAACTTAATATATAATTGAAAAAATTGTATATTATTGAATTTTTTAAAAACAAACCTGTTATGGAAGTATAAACAAGTTCTCTAACTTCAGAACTGGTTTCATGTATTCGACATTCCAGATTTTTTCCACTAACCCAATTCAATTGTCTGATTCTGTAACATTATATTTATATAAATATATAAATTTGAAATTTCATCTGTAATTTATAAATAAGATAAACCTTTTTTGTATTGCTAAATCTTTTTCTTCATCACTTGTAAAAGGTGGACAAAAAAGAATTCTGTAAAGTAAAGTCATTGTATATTTTTCTACATAATCCAATAATTTTTCTTTGACTTCTGGAGTTATATCTAAAATAATAAATTTAAAATATTTGTTTTATTTAAATTTCTTTAAAAAATTCGTTAAATTATTTTATATTCTCAAATTATTTTACTTTAAATTTATTTTTAAAATACCTGCATATTTAACACTATTTTCTAAACGTTTAGCAAATACTTGATAAAAATTTTGTGTAATCTCTGAAAGTTCTTCTATTCTTTTAATATCTTTATTCTGAAGTATTTCAACAATAAATGAATGCATACATTTCTTAACATCTCTTTCTACTGGTGTTTTAGCAATCATAGCTATTAAGTCACGATTATCTGTTTTTACTTTTTCAAGGTCAGGATTATCTTTTGTTAATTCATAAAGTAATTCCTGATATCCCTGTACTTTAAAAAAAAACAAAATTTTTAGAATAATAAAGAATATAAAGTAAGGAAATAAATATTTATAGAAAAATATAAATAATAATTTGAAGTATATCTTTTAATATATTTAATAATTAAAAAATAATAATTAAAAAATATTTAACAATTAAAAAAAATTATATACAAAAATAAATATTAAGTAAGAGGTAATAAGGTAAGACAAATCTACCTTTTGTAACTGGTTTACGAAAAGATATATTTAATAATTTATACTTTTTTTCTTGTACTTTTTTTTCTTCATATTTTTGATGAGCACTAATTGTATTTTTATTTGAAGAAGCACTGAAAAATTTATAATATTATTTATCACTAATAACAATAATAATAATTACTAATCAAAATAATAGTGTAAATAATTAAAATTTATAAATATATCATTTTCCTTTTATATAAATA